CTGAGAGGGTGAAGTAAAGAAGCCTGTGTAGACGAATGAACAGAGACAGACTCTTGTGATGTGTGTTTAAAGGATTACTGGAAGGTCATTTCAGAGTGGACAACTCAAGAAAGAAAACTTTGGTGGGAGGTTTTACAAGGTCTTCAAAGCAGGCAAAGAAATGTAGGTTTTGATCTGACCACATTATATGCATTTTGCTTATTTGTCATTGAAGTATATTACTAAATACTGTCTTATCCTATTTCAGTAGTGATCTTTGTTTATTTGGTAAAGTAATAATTTTTTAAGGGTTAGCAATTCTAGGTTCCACCAGGAAACAGTCAAGTGAAATTGTTTCTCAGTATTTGATTGACTTGATTCGTTCATTTTCAAAGAAAAGGTAAATCATATAGCATTCTGTATGATGTAGACTGTGTCACTGAGAGTGAAAAAGTTACCTTTGTCTTCCATCATTTGAGAATGTGCTGTTGAATTTGAGAAAAGAGCCCTGGGGCGTTAACAATACACATTCTCCAATCTAGACTTCAAAATGTCAATAGATGTTTAGGGTATGACAGGAAAATATTAAGTCCATTAATATGATAATTACAGTGTTTCTTGCTTCCTTGTACCCTGCACTGATTACTACATATACAGGACTCAAAATACAAACTTTATGTTTACTGAACGTGCCAGTGTCTGTGTCTGAATTCATAAATGCCGTCTTAGGACCCAGGCAATTTGTGTTTACTGCCTAGTGCCTTAGGGAGACTGTTTAATGAGGAGATGTGAAGCCTTTTACAGTTTATTGTTGATGACATTTTGAGGACACTTGCAGTGGGGTAGACTGGAAAACAATAAAGCTGGGTATTTTCTTGGATGTGGTTTATAAGCCCCAGAGTGTTGTATCAGATTTTATCAGTAATCAAATTTCTACTTGATAGCAAAAACAAAAACAAAACCTTTTTAGAAACTTAATTTCATACATTGAAGGCAAAGAAAAAAATACTTGCAAATCTGATATCTGAATTTTCTTAAGATTCAAAGAATTTCAATTTTTCTAGTTATTCAGTTGAAATAAAGGTTACTACCACTGTTTTTATAAGCTTAAAATGCGTATTTATTTATTTATTTTGAGATGGAGTCTCCCTCTGTCACCCAGGCTGGAGTACAGTGGCGTGATCTCTGCTCACTGCAACCTCCATCTCCCAGGTTCAAGCGATTCTCCTGCCTCAGCCTCCCGAGTAGCTGGGATTAGAGGCACATGCCACCACGCCCAGCTAATTTTTGTAGTTTTGGTAGAGACAGGGTTTCACTATGTTGGTCAGGCTGGTCTCCTAACCTCAGGTAATCCACCCACCTCGGCCTTCCAAAGTGTGGGCTTACAAGGCATGAGCCACCATGCCCGGACCGAAATGCCTATTTCTTAGGTTAGATATGGTAGTGTTATAACTGTTGATATCCTTTGTAGTCTGTACTTAAAAACTCTGAAATGGCTTGAGGCAGTTCTGCAGCAAAAATTCGATATGTATGTCTATTCAGATAACGATTCTTATATTGTGTATTATATTAATACACGTAATGTATTTTCATGTCTATTGCCTAATACTTTCAAAATGAAAAAGAAATTGAACAATATATTTTTCTCTCGACTGTGTTTTCATTGGAAACTTTTGTGACCAACTTGTGCTTATTAAAATTATAAGACTGTGGCACAACCCTATGGTGAAATGTGAGCCATCGGGGTCTGTCCAGGTGGGCCAGTGTTGGTGTGTCTTCATGACTGGGTCTGGTTCTCAGCTCTGTAGGTGCCTTTTACAGAGGTAATGTTATGGAGTTGGGGTTAAAAACTCTGAAAATGTGCTTTGTAGACTTGAATCCAACCCCATCAATTTCTTAGTGTGTATAGTTACGGTGTATAGTTACGTAACTCATAGGTATGTAGTTATGTAATCTCAGTATGTTACATAACTTAGTGTGACACAGTTACATAAGTTATGCACATAACATAGCACAAATAGCTACATAAGCTACATACTTGACATAACATACTTGACATAACTGTTATGTACATAAGGTATATTTAGTACATAAAAGTTACATAATTGAAATTTTTGTGTAATTAGGCATTAACTCCAAAAGATGTGGTACATATTTGTACCTGCTTGGGTTATCATCATAATAAAAACAGATAATGTTTGTAAATACTTCAGCTCTAATATATAGCACAAAATTAATAACCAGTATTAGTTGTTGTTGTTAATATTAATGTTAGTACTGCGTAATCATCTGAAAAGCACTTGCTCAATACCAAGGTTAAAAACAGAGAGCTAGAGCGACTTATTACAAGTTTACCCATGTGAATTTGTTTTTGCCAGAAAACCCGAATGCCCTTCCTGACTTTAAGCAGGAAATGTGTCTGTGATGATTTGCTGTTCTGGAACCATTTCTGGTTGGGGTTAAGTGAAATCTACTAAATTTTGTATCCTGGGTTTCTCTTCTCTGTACTTTGTGCAGATACTCCTCTCTCCCTAAAAAGAATTATTTGACAAGATACAATGCATATGATTATGGTTATTCTAGCTTAAACCAGTTTATTATAATAGATTTAGTTGAAACTTGGTTATATTCTGGCGTTAGTCATTTTATTAACCATGAAGAGGTTATAGCTTTAGATGTGTTGATTCAACCATGCATTCTTAAGATGCTGTCACAGACACCTTAATTAAACCTAGGTGTTCCTAAATTTCCTCAGACATTAGTTTCACCATATTTCTAATGTTACTCTTAGAAGGGAAGCTTTCTGCTTCCATGTAGTCGAAATGGTAAAGAATCCTAGATTTTAGTTTTATTAGATTGATTAGAACAGAATGCAAGTATAGAAGTTTTTAAGTGAAAAAATCCATGTGAGTAAAAATGTATGCCTGTATTTTTGTTATAAACCAGTGATTTAAATTTTAATGCATATGTTTATGAAGAGAAGTATGTTTGTTATTATAATAAACAATAAAAAGCCATTGCTCACGTGACTTATGAAGGCAAACCTGGCAATGACTTTTGTCTCATATGTCTGCAGACTCTACCATCAGATATGCCTACATCATTTATGAATGGGTGTCCACTACATTGTTATAACCATCTGCAATCAAATGTGGTTATGCAAAACAAAGACTTCGGTTGGTATAACTAATTCTGTTTGCATCAATTATGAAAATCATCACTTGGTATTTATAATTATTTATAGCTTAGGTTGGGAGGGGACACTTTTCAGGAGCAAAAGTGGTACTTTGTTTCTATTTTTTCTGAAATAGCCCACAGAAAGGGTATTAATCCAGCATTAAAAAGGGCGAAGCACGAAGCTTCCCTGATTGGAGTGTCGTTCCCAAGCATTTTACTGATAAATCATTCAGGACTGATAAGGGTCTTTAACCCTTCCTCCTTTCCTTCCTTCCTTTCCGCTTCCTCCCCTTCTTCCTTCTCTCTTCCTCCTCCCTGCCCTCCCCGTCCCTCCACTCCCTCCCTCCCTCCTCTCCTCCCTCCCATTCCTCTTTTTGTTATTTTTTTCTAGTTAAAGTCATACTCTAACACCTATTCTCCTGCCCACAACTATACGTTTCGGTAAATGTTCTTAAAACTAGCAGGTACTTCTCTCCTAATGCCTAAATGAACTCAACCACCATGGAGAAGTGATAGTTTTGGTTGGTAGATAAAAAGTGATCATTTCGGCACTGTATTAAGCTATACATGGATTAGGTAGTAGCCAAAGAAACAGTAGGGTGGCCAGAGACTTTGAGGGAACAAAGGCTGAACAGAAAGTGAGAAGAGGCCAAAAACTCCCTCAGTCGTGTGAATCTGCCTTGGGCACTCTGACCTGTATGGAGCTGGATATCATCTTCAGTGACGTCTCCGGCCTGCCTGTCCCGGACTGCCTGTGCTTGACTTCAGGCACTCATTTTCTCTCCTCATATAATCCAATCCATTAAATGTCTGCTATAGTTTTTCTGGCCTGAAGAGAAATTTTGTTTGTTTGCTTGTTTGTTTTGGCCTCTGGTTCCGGGCCGGGGTAAGATAAAGCGTACACTGCTTTTCTTCATTCCTACATCACATACATGCTTCTCCTCAGCCTTCCCTTTTTCACTCTTTGTCATACACAGGCACTTGTGAAGCTCTGCGATATCCCTCACCGTATAACAAACTTTCTGGCAGAAGCAGAGGCAGTAGCTCTCTGGTAGTGCTTGGGGGAGTGACAGATGCTTTCAAGACTGACAGAAAAAAGAAAACACAAGCTCTTTTTCAGGAACTCTGTGTGTGTGTGTGTGTGTGTGTGTGTGTGTGTGTAGAGAGAGAGAGAGAGAGGGTGTCTTAGTGAGACACAAATCTGCCGCTAAGGTAGCAATTATTAGGTCTTATAATTGAGATTTACTTGTGGACCTGAAAACTCTGCTCAGTCCATAAGAGAATTCCCTGTATTCCCTGTATAGTAGGAGCAAGACACTTATCTATTGTAAGGTTATCTGTACCATTCCATTTGACATTTTTAAGTCTATAGCAGTAGGCGAGAAAGGTGGACCTTTGCAAAGATACTGATAGCCCAAACTAAAAGAAGTTAAAACTTGAAGTGGTAATTTAGTGTTCTCTTCAAAGGTTGTTTAAGTACACACATTATTAATATACACTTAGTTTATGCTTCTGACATAGCAGATCAGACTTTATACCTGGAGACATTGTAAAGACAAACGTCAAGGTTGGGCCTGATGACTCACCCCTGTAATCCTAGCACTTTGGGAGATCCTTTGAGGACAGGAGTCCGAGACTAGCCTGGCCAACAGGGTGAAACCTTGTCTCTACTAAAAATACAGAAATTAGCCAGGCCTGGTGATGCATACTTGTAATCCCAGCTACTCGGGAGTCTGAGACACGAGAAACGCTTGAACCCGGGAGGTAGAGTTTGCAATGAACCAACATCACATCACTGCACTCCAGCTGGGGTGACAGAGGGAAACTCTATCTCAAAAAACAAACAAAAAAAGCAGAGGTCAAAAATTTTTATATGTTCATCCATACCCATAGCTGTACCTATATTATAAAACAAATATGATAGTATTTCGTTTGCCAAAACGTAAATATTTTCCACTTCTATTCACTCCACCTAGGCTGCCTTCTTTACTATAGACCCCAGACCCATTCATAATTGACCCATCCCCTACTTGGGTCTGCATATGATCATAAATAGCAGCTTTCACTACTGAGTCATTATTAAACAGGAAGCATATCACTGCTGAGTCGTCATTAAACAGGAAGCATATCACTGCTGAGTCGTCATTAAACAGGAAACATATCACTGCTGAGTCATTATTAAACAGGAGGCATATCACTACTGAGTCATTATTAAACA